CATGGAGCTCATGGATGTATTTAGCAATGGACTGGGAACCGGCTTCGATTTTATTGAACCAGCTGAACCATCTTCAGCACAGCACTGCTAGAAACCTGTGGAGGTGTAAGAGGATGTGACTTATTGTGAGACTTCTACTAGAGGGAACTTTGGGACAGTGTTTGAGAAGAGGATGGGTAAAGCTGGCAGGACATGCTACCACAGAACTCTCAGAAAACATACCAGTGTTCTCACGGTGGAGAACAACCAGCACTCTTTAGGGAAACAAATTAACCACCACTCTGTTCTTGATGAAGCTTTTTGATTTTTGACATCTCCTGCTTCCTCTCCCATGGTAAGCTGTAGCTAGACCTGGATGGATCTCAGCTCACCAAGACTGCAGCTCCTTGGGGCAGTCTGAGAAGGGGCTCTATACCTTCCCAATAGTCTATGTTTCAGGCAAGTGATGACAAGGTCAGCCAGCACAGGCTTCTTCTCTTGCAAGGGGAATTAAACATGTAGTAGAAGTGGCTGCATAAAAAAAATCCACTGGAGCTTCAGGTTTTGAAAAGGCTTGGGAAGAACAGTGACATTTGTAGAGGAAAATGCATCTCCTGCCTCAGCAAGAGGGGTGCTGCAGACATGTAGCACCAAGTAGGTTTGGAGGCAGCTTGCAATACTTTCTCTTCCTCCCTCCCGCCCCCCCGGCCCCCAACATCTGGATGTATTTCCATCCCACTCTCTCAATGAACTAGGAACTACTCCCTGAAGAGGGACAATTCTAACATGCAAACTAAATGGGAATAGGTAAACACAGAGCATTTCTAAAGAGTAATTCATGACAATGGCATCAAATCCCACTTCTTTCTTAAGTACATGTCAGGGTTTGGGTCTATCACTAAAAAACCACAAGCAGTCGTCTGTTTAGTCTGTGCTGCAATTGCACCTACCTCGAGCAGTAATTGCATCAGGCCTGGAAAACAAGATATTCCCATGCACTCTGGCTGGGCAGATGCATCTAAACCAAGAGCACCAGGAAACTCTCACCTCAATCAGTGAAAAGTGCAGACCACATCCTGCTCTGTTTGCTGCTGTCTCTCTTTCCCATTGCATGGCATGCTTACAGAGGGCATTTTCTGTTGATGCAGCACATACAAAAAAGCTTCACATCAAGTAACAACCCAAGACAGCTTTAACACCCACAGCACCATGTGTTTTGGTGGAGTCTGTAGTTCTCAACAGCTATATACTGGGATGGATTTTAGCAGGGACTTCTTGTGAGGAGTCCCAGTGGGTGGTCAGTGGAGACAATTTTTTCCAGCTTTTCTCATGTTTACTTATATTTTTACTTGGATTAATTATTTTTACTTGGATTTCTCATTGGGACTATTCACCAATGTCTGGGCAACTGGTGATGGTTGGGATTAGTACCCACACATTATGGGCCAGAAGCCTGAGGGTGCTAGGAGTTTCCTACACTGCTGGAAGTGCCAAGTGACCTTCACATGGTCATGTATAGTACTAGGGCACGTTTCTGCCAGTGTAGGAGGCCAAACCTCATTATCCAAGCTGAGATGTATCATGGATGGCTACATTTTGTAATACTTTGTGCAGGTAACATGTGCCCTCCTGTCAGGACTCCAACACTAAAATAAACATAAACGAACAGGTATATAAATGCATTACACTTAATTTACATTCATGTCATTAACAAAGCCTTTCTGTACTCCCAAGAAGTCATAAACACAGATGGATAAACTGAGGTTCAAAGGAAGAAAAGATTTGGTGAAGGTAATACAGCTGGTTAGCACAGAGAGGAAGGATTACAAACCCAGCTCCCCCAGTGCCACTCCTTGTCCCCACTTCTCTCTCTGGTTCCATTTCTCCTGCCAGGATTAGCTCTAGCATTTCTGCATGCTTAGGAATAAACCAACAAAGGTTTGCTTATCACACTGCAACATTCTGTCACCAGCACAGCTTAAAACTATGCTTAGCCTTAGCATTCTGCTGCTGTGGAACGACCAGGACTTGTTTTTCTCTGCAGAGGAGACAAAGTCCTTTGATCCTGTAAACTTTTTAGGCAGCAATGCTGGAATAAAATGGTCGTAGCATTTAATGAGAGTAATGGTTGCATTGTAGTAGGTAAATGATCCCTTCCTACATGCAGTACCTAAAGCATTTAAGCTTCTTCAAGATCAAAGATGCTATAGGAGTGGAAAGGAGACCAAGACCTGTGGGATATTAGGACAGTTTGCCTTCCTGCAGGCATTCTTCAGACACTCAGCTTTTTTTAAAAGAACATAAACCACTGACTTGGGGGAAACCAAGATGAATGCATCATCAGGATGAGATTGTTCTTTACTTTTCAATAGGGCTGAGAGAGGAAAAAAGAGGTCAAGTGACTTCCTCAAGGTCAGAGACCGTCAGTGAGTCATAAAGAGAGGACTGTTTGCCTTACAGCCCTGCATTCATTCTGCAAGGCTCTGTGTTGTTGGGAGGCTTTTTCTTTGCTTACTCTAGCAGCTTCTGGGAGCCCCGACCATGCTGCTGCTCTGGCATCTCGTGACATTTATCAGAGAGACTTGTGGTAAAATGAAGGGGTATCAGCAGGCCCATGCAAGAACATGGCAGCACTGGATTTTGCAGATGTGAGGGGGAGTCCCTTTAAGGCAAAACTCTTGGAGCTTAGTGAAAGAAACGTGAGCAGCACTGCCAAAGGCAAGCAGTGAAAATCCTAGGCCAATTTAAAACAAAATAAAACAAACCACAATATTTAAAACCCAGCAGATTTGAGATCCTTTGAAACAGGTTTTCTTAATCCAACTGATCACGGGAATAAGTTCCCTGTTGTGGAGCTGTGTGGCACTTATTCCCGTGATCAGTTGGATTAAAAAAACCCCACAAACAACCCCACCCTTTACCCATGACATTGTCCCAAATCCCCTTTGGAAGTCTATTTCTCACCTGCTTATTTGTCTAAGTGCATATTTCTCTGTAGTTGATGCCCTCCTCTGACTGGTATGCTGCATCTAAACAAGTGATTGTGGGCGCATGCATCTCTATTTGTGATGCAAAGCATCTCTGACAGGTGGATGTGTGGTGGCCACATGAAAAATGACACTGCAAAAGCAAGGTGGGCTTCTTAAATGCTAAGCTTAGGGAGTAAGTGGAGGTGCTAAAAAAACTTGATAATAAGGACACTCAGATGACAGCTGTTAATGCTACTGGGTATAAATCAGAGACAAGTGAAAAACTGCCTTCTCCAGAACTAAGATGTACTGCTGATATGCTTCCTGCACTATGCAGATCTTTTTATCTTAAAGAACAGCTCTAGGCACCCATTCAGTGCTCAGAAGCAAAACTCCCTGCATCTGCTCTCCTCCCCATGTCGAAGAGCATTGACTTCAACTCCAGCAGGATGCTGCTGGTGCCTCTGCTAGAGCCCACTGTCTAAAGAAACTGTTGGCTTCTGCTGCTCCACACTAAAAAATTCCTGCTGCTGCACCTCTTGAAGTTGCTATTATAAAGGTATATTAATTATTAGGATAGTTCTGGGGAAAGTCCTTCCCTAGTCTTCCATTCAGACATGAATTCACAGATGCTCTGGCTAGAATGGGAGCTCTGGGGCTGGGCTAGGAGTAGCACCACCACCGTTCCAGTTTAACTGC